GACTCAAGCCTAGCACGCATCGTTTCTGATGCCAAAACGTTGTCCATTAACCACTTTAGAGATGAAAAGGACAAAATGCACATCTCAGATTCTACTGTTAGTCATCCTTCATCAAAACGGTACCATAGTGACTAACCGGATTGGTAGAAAATAACTCAGTATAAACAGTGAATACTGTAAACCCTGTTAATCATTAGTAAAAAGCTTGTTAGTCATTGTTATCTTCAAGGCTTATTATTGCAGTCAGAGATTGCTAGAAAACTGGAAGAATTTTCATTAGGCAGAAGACCTATCTTATGACAGTGTTGATTTTATGGAGATAGCAAATGGGAAGAAAGGAAAAGGAATCGTGAAAATGTGTTCATTAAGTTAGAGAACTTTTAGTTTAATGTCTTAATATCATTAGTGTGTTACCGATTTGGGTATTATGTATAAAATATCAGTAGTATGCGATAATTAGAATTTTCACTTTGAAATGAAATTAAAAAGGTAGGAATAGTAGAATTTACACCTTTTCACAGCAAAAAGTGGGTAGAATGTGATTACAGGTGTGCTTTGTGCAACCGACAAGTCATGTTACTCAATGAAAATACTTATTCCAGTTTAGATACCATGGTCATCAGGAATTAGTGACAGACTCCATAACAATTTAAAATTACACCAGCTATCGATCAGATTAAACAGTTCAACTTTTTTTACACAAATATTTTCAATTATGTCATCATGGTTCCAGTAGGCTGATTTAGTAGAGGAAATATTTTACCATTCTTACTTGAGTTACTTATATGAAAGTAAGTAGTATACCACAGTTAGAAGTCAAAGTGTAGTACTCTCATAATTATGGATGCTCTGTTTCGCCACATTAACGAAGAGGATTAACATTTCTAGTGTAGATTATTTGAATACTAGAAATCTCTATGAAGACGTATCTGGAAAGAATACGATCATACGACTTTAAAATTAATCAATCTTCTCAGGACAGGGAAAAAGTCACAACAGATCGTATCTTCAGGACATATTTTCGCGATTAGTTAACCGATTTGCCTTACTATTATTGACTAAACAAATAGAATGTACATTGTAGAGGAGTAGTATAATAAACTTACAGTATCTATTAATTAGGTCTGGATCGTATACGTCCAGATTTAGAATGTCTTGGTGTATCAGATTGATGTACAGAGCCTGAAGTTATTGGTGATTCTGAATCAATGTGAGATCGTTGTCGTCCTGAAGGGATACCTACTTTCTGCTGAAATAAAGAAATATACAGATAAACTTAGTAGTATGTAATATAAAGCAACAGTGTTTCAGCCTAAATTGTAATAATTCCCAATAGAATATAAATTAGAAAAAAACAACACGAAAAAGTAGTAAAATCAACTAATTCAATTGGTAAAGATACGCATACGTGAATACACATTCAGGGTTTACAAAGACAGAAGAGTGAACGCATCCAACCTGCCTGTAATAATAAATTTTAAGTCAAACAATTAACAGTTTGATATCTGTAATTTCTAATATCTAGTGTTGTAAATGAATGTGAACATTGAACGTTGGTTCATTGACCTTGGTCACCATTGGCGGGCAACTCGAAGGCGCGAATGATTCAATCGTGTACAAGTTGGAAGAAGACGAAAGAATACGAATAAAAGTACAATACATTCCTTGTAAAACATTTGTTTATAGACTTTTGTATGATAATGAATTTAACTGCAGAACAATACAATTTCTTACTGGTCCTCGTGTTTTGGAGTTAAAGTCGATAATCGTACCTACCAATTGTCAATTCGAAGCGTCTTCGCAAATGATAGGAACTTGGGATTACGTTCCTTGACAAGTGTGTTACATATGAAGAATCCAAATATCTTACTTTGGGTAGAGTAGTAGTCTAGTCTGACTGACCCTGTTCTACTAGCTTGACCTATGTATTTGACCTGACAATCATCGCAGACAGGGTATTAGATAAACTAAATTGTTCTGTTTTAAAGGCTCCACAGGATCCAATATTTAACCGACAAAGCTTGTTTCTAATTGAGTTTGTGGGTGTGAATGCCAGCCACTTTTATTCCTGCCTTGTTAAGAATTCTGAGTAAGGCTTCCGAGGTTCCTTCCTTGCATGGAATTACTACTGATTATTTAGATTCCTTATTGTTGGTGTTGTCTTGCACACATTTGACTTGCATGTCGTCATTAATATTGTTATTATTATCATTATCACTACTATCATTATTCATTTTATTTTTACATTTCTTTACATATTTCCTGACTAATTTATCAAGGTAATTACTAAGTTTCAAGGCTTCTCTTATATATATATATATATATATATATATATATATATATATATATCACTTCCTGTCTTAGATTTTCCTTGGTACTTCTTAGATTTTGTGCTCTGTCACTTAAACATTTCACCAATCCTATTTTTACTGACATAGGATGGGATGATCGGAAGTTCAAATATCTATTTGAATGTGTGGGTTTTCTGTAAACATTAGTGTTTAACTTCCTATCTTCTTTTCTTTTTACGCTGCAGTCTATCATTGGAAGTTCCCTTCCTGACTTTCCAATTCATAAGTGAATTGAATTGCCTCCACCTTTGAGTTAATCTGTTCGAAAAGTCTATTTATATCCTGTGTTCTAAGTACAGTGAATGTGTCATCTAAATACCTCCACCATACCTTTGGGGTCGGGCTGAACGTTTCAATCGCTATGTTTTCCCACCTATTCATAGATATATATGCTACAACCAGGGATATTGGTGATCCAATGGCAACTCCCTCAGTTTGCTGGAAAATTTTCCCTTGGAATTTTAATACTGTGGAAGTTAGGCTCAGCTGTACTCCCAGCATTATGTCCTCAAGTGGCACTTTCGTCCTAAGTTTGAGTTCTTGGTCGGAAATGAGTTCATTTCTGACTGCCTCTATAGCCATATTTATTGGTATACGTGTGTATAAACTGACAATGTCAAAACTAACCATTTTCTCTCCTGAGTTATAGCGCTTTCTCTGTTGTTATGGCGCTATATTTGACCAACTCATAAGACTGGTATAATACATTTACTACTATTAAAAAATTTGATATAACACACGCCCACCTTCCAATCATTCCCAATTGGTTTTGTAGAAACCGGTGTAGATGGTGATAAAATAGCTGAATTCTCTTGAGCACTTCCATTGCTGTCAGCTTGAGTACCAGGATTTAAACTAGAACCTAATCCAGAAGTGGTATAATTTGTACCAGGTTCATCCATATGCCCTGCATCATTATTAGAATATACAATTGGTGAGAAATGATTTGACTTCTTATATAATGATGATCCGTTCAGTGAACCATTTAATGACTGGATACTGTGTAAATTACTCGGGGAATGATTTAATTCATGAAATGAATTTGTTAACAGTAGCAGAGATTTTTCTATACCAATAGATGGATAATTATGACCAGAGATCTCCTGAAGAAAAAAGCAGAATACAAGAAGTTTTTTTCATTTATCGTTCACTTCAAATATCTGATGTTATTAAAAACCTTGACATGTCAAAAGTTTCCAGGTATGCTAAATGTAGTTAAGCATAAAGTGCAAAGGGTATTATAGTTGCTAGATGGGACAATATTTTCTATAAGAGGATAAACGAAACCTGAAGAAGGTAGCAGCTTGTAAGCTGAAATCATGAATCTGACAAAATAGACAAATATAAGATGACGAGCTGTAGTTTAAAAGCGAATACAATTACACTATTATAAAAGAAAACCTAAGGGAAACAAGTATAAATAACAAAAGTAAGACTTATCCATAAGTATTGGTTCAGTAGGGATGTTGTTTGATTGGTTGGAGGATTTCATCATGAGCTGATATCAACTACAGAACCATTGGAAAACATGAGGGCATTGTACAGCTGTTTCGTCAGCCTAGTTTGTGATTCCTCAGCAGTATGCACCATCGGGACCCTCTGGTTACAAGACGAGCGAGATCGTAGACCATTAAGCCACTGGGACCCGATCCAATGACCCATGAATTGTAACTTCTGTCAATTCATGATGAAATCCTCCAACCAATACTTGAAAATTATTCTGATGCTAACTAGCGACTGGCCCTATTCAGGCGGTTACCCGAGGTTCTGGTGAGAAACCGTGATCAGCAGGGTGCAGCAGGTTGAAGGTGAGGCAGTAACTCATCGAAGAAAACATTGAAAAGTGGTCGCACTATGTCATGAATCGGTAGAAGTTAGAATTCATTGGCTGGCCACTGGATCGGCTCTTAGTGGCTTAGTTTTTCGACGAGCTCGCTGGCATTGTAACCATAAGGTCCTAGATCCGAAACCTGGCGAAACATTTATCCATAAGTGACATTACCAAATTTACTACAAAAGCTGGGTGGTCTGGTTTGCTCAGGGTCTCACTAACGAAAACCCTACAGCCTTTTTTTCAGCGTAAAGTAAGGATATTTTTTTTTACCAGAATCCACATTGAATTCACTCGCATAATAATAACAATAGACACACGAAAAACGACTGTGGTATATGCTACTTCTGATAATGAATATAGGTGATATACGACAAAACATGTTCCTCAAATAAATCATAATAGATGAGTAACTGAAAATCTTGAAATAATAGAGAAAATGTTTTGTGGAAAAACCGACATACGGGTGTATGAAATTCTGAATAAGTGACAGACAGTGAAAAATCAAATATTTCCATTTGAAAATATTGAAATGAATACAACGTTTATCATTTTATGAATGTCTTTTTGTAATTTGTCTTAGTAAACATTGCATTCAACCTCACCTCTCTTGTCCACGACAATACTGTAATAACAGAAGACAACGGCCAGGCAACAGATCGTTTATTAAGGAAATCAACACATATTTATACATTTTCATGTACATTATTATGGATTATTTAAGCAGACAAACACAGTCTTCTGATTGGTTGTTTCTCACAGAAAGTTAACCTTGCAACTCTTTTTGGCTGTTTCTTGAATGTCAGATCATCCATATGTTAACTGTATCCGCCTACGCAAAGTGTGCTGTGGTTGTTTGTTGAATCAGTCTTTGTTCATATTTTCTCACGACCAATACTTGGGACATACACATTGACGTAAATTAATGTCTACCGATTTGGCTAGCAGCCTGCTCTCACCACAATACTATCCTCCTAATGAATGCTGTAAGTAGATCCCCAGGAAATCAATTTCCCTTTAATGGCTTAGTGTCTGTGACTTAGGGTATTGAATGATGCAGGTTTGAATATCATATGGAACACGGATTTTCACAAGGCCACATCTTTGGTTTGAAAATGACCATCAACATTCATGAAGCTTAAGTCAAACACTGTTTCTGTGGATTAGCTACTAATGCCTGAAAGAAAGAATCACTTTTGTCCAGATTGAGGGCCTTGATTAGGTTGAACGCGTGCGTTGGAATTTCAGAAGTTCTTTCCACAGGAATGATCCTACGGCTGACTATTAGGTAGCAATGGGTGATTTGGGATTTGCAGTTTATGTAGTCAACTTCTCTTGGATTATTCCCTCAGAGTGGAAATGCAGCCATGTTGACTTGCTGGTTTTCCGAATGAAACGCACTACTCCTCTTAACCTCTGCCATGCTCCGTTCAACAGCAGTACGATTTCGGTTGAAGTAGTCAAGCTGCCTACAATGTGAAAAGACCTGCCGTTAGTATATCTCCATCCCATGACGAAAGGACCTGCAGATACAATCTTTCCAGGCAGTACAGTTTGTTGCACCGTATACAAGCCCGACCATTACGTTAAAGTAGCGACTGTTAGCCAAGTCTAGCACCGAACACCATATTACAGTGAATCACAGTATGACACTGAGATAAATAAGCACATAAAACATTTGAGCACCAAGTGCATGGGATGACTAGCTAAATTTGTTACCATCCACTGATTCATTCATACATACAACCACTTTTCTATCAATACAACGAATCAAGAGTCCCATCAAAAACTAACATGAATTTGTAAAAAATGATTGAATACCTGAGTTCTTGCATCACTTAGCAAACGATCTTGTGAGATTCTTGAATCTGGTTCAGCATTCAATACTTCATTAATTCTTTGACCGAAAATTGTAGATGCACTACCACCACTTTCATCAATCAGTGTATTCACCACATTGTGTTGTTCCAGTTCAGCTCGAACTGCTGACAGAGCAGCTTCTAATCGTTTCCCATGTTCAGTTAATTCTGTCTGAGAGGCAATCTGTAAAACACAAGAAAAAGGCTAAACCATAGCAGTAATGAAGTTTCGATAAGTATACATGCAGATTTAAACAGACAAGACATTTACAACATACAGTTTAGTTTGACAGAACATATAGGAGAAAATATGTAAACAAACTGACAAGTGCACAGTTGAAAAATATGAGGGAATAAAAGATGTTAAATGCTTGGAGTAAAAAAACCACAGAAATGACAATGATATCGTGAAGATGATGAAAATGTGGGAAGCCGTGACCAGTAGGGTACAACAGGTCGAAGATGAGGCAGTAACTCGTCGAAGAAGACATTGCGAAGTGGTCACGCTATGTCGTGAATTGGCAGAAGTTAGAATTCAAGAGCCATTGGATCGGGTCCCAGTGGCTCAATGGTGTACGAGCTCGCCTTGTAACCAGAAGGTCCTGGGTTCGAACCCCGGTGGGTGCGTACTGCTGAGGAGTCCCAAACTAGGACGAAACAGCTGTCCAGTACTCCCAGGTTTTCCAGTGGTTCTCTAACTGATGTCAGCTCATGATTAAATCCTCCATACAATCAAACCAAATCCCTACAAAACCAACACTTGAAAATGTAAAAAACATACCGCCAAGGGGATTTAGAGACATCAAAAAATGTATCTTTGTGTATAACCATACCTCATCTCACTTTCATTTAAAACAACATTTTTTAATTCCTGATAGTCTGTGTTTCAAAATGACGCCTATTTTATAGTTATCAGGCTGCACTGGACCGATAAGAAGACTCTTGAAGATCTGGATTCCCGCGTGGATGATTGATGTTTAATGTCACACAAACTTGAAGACTTAGAGACAAAAAGCAGCGAAGACAAGACTCCAGGTGAACATAGGAAAGACGGAGACGAAGGTGAAGACAACCAGCACCAATCACCATCAACGGGAGGTTTCTGACTGAGGTCACTTCCTCCACTTATCTGACCAGGAAGCACGGTTTCAACCACAAGCGGACGGCACGGATGAAGATTTCAGAGCCAGTCAGCCAGAATCGGAAAGGCAAGATATGCCTTCATCAACCTGAGACCAGTTCGGAAATCTTTCTCACTAATTCAGTATAAAGAACAAGATTCGGATTATCAACAAAGATGTGAAGTCGGTCAGTAAGTTCTTCTATATGGGTCAGAAACTTGTACTACGTGTCACTAGAAGCATTTCCAACAGGCAGCTGCAGACATTTATCAACAGCTGCCAACTTCGCTGGCTCCATACTGAAGATCAAATGGCTGGCCAGCCAAAAAGAATTAGAAAGAAGAAACTCTGACTGAGAACAAACCAACCGAGCACCGATTGCTCAACAAATATGTAGGAGAAAATGGAGATAGATGGATCGCGCATACGATGAGTAGGCCAGCAAATGACATTGCCTGTCAAGACAACAATCTAGTGAAATCGGAATGGGAAGCGACGAGTGGGTCGTCAGTGAGAGGGTGACATGCTTCCGCCATTAATCCCGATGATTAAGACAATATTTTGCAAGTAGGAGTAAGACTAAATTCCACTCTCTGAAAGTCTTCTGTGTAAACCGCCTAACACATTACTTGATAATGTGAACTATTCAATCCAGAACGTGAGTTTTATTTTATTTCGGACTCGTCAACTGGGTGCACTTGCATTCCAGTGGGTGATGTTGTTCCCGCTGAGACTCAGATCCAGTTATCATCGTTTTAAAGATCAAACAAGCATCCATTAGGGAACTGGGCAACGATAACAATCCTTTGTGCAACAGTTATAAGTTGTTATTTAATACGATATTTAGATAAATAGTAGAGAATTTTGATTTTGAATAATAGATACCCTTCGGTATAGACGGTAGAGATGAGGATGTCAAAGGTAAGACCGCAAAAACATGACAAACCTTCATTGGTCTGAAATCGGTGTGGATATCTACTGCAATCAACAGAAGGAACAAGATTCGCATCTTCAACACCATTGGCAGATCAATGCTTCTATAGAATTCAGAGACGGCGTGTCACCAAAAACATTTCCAATAGCCTACAGCAGACTTGTATCGACAGTTGCTTTCGCTCCATGCTGAAGATCACATAGCCAACCAGAAAGGAGGATTAGCAACAAGAAACTCTAACAAGCAACGAACAAACCAAGAACCTATTACTTAACAAATATGCAAAAGCAATTGGAGATACCTCTAAAACACACACTGAGGAGACAGTTAAGTAATATCATGTACCAGGCCACTGTTCGCGTGGAAGCCAAATGGAAAAATACAATTTGGACTTGAGTCTAAGTGTGACATGGATGAGATGAGCGCTTATAGGCGATTGTGCAGTCAGCTAAAGAAGACTGTAGAGAACGGGACGAAATGGCGATTTGCTGTTGAAACCCTACGTTCCAATCGGAGCCCAAGGAAATAATAATACCGTTTTGCTTAGCTTTACCTTCTTAAACACCATTAGGCACTATTTAAAGAGACCAGAGTATCTATGGAAAAAAAGATCAATCAAAATCACAGTCCCAAAAGTTAAGAAATGTTAAATGATTGCAAATGCATGCACAATCCATTCTAGAAGGATGAAATGGGAAAAAACAAGATAATTTACAATATAGAAATATGCACAGATCGATAAAATGATAGTTAGTTGAAGGATTGTTAGTACACGTGCAACATTATATAACAACAACAATGTAAAAAAACCCATGACCATAGATGTTATTATGTAGCATGTATTGACAGATTAATAGACAAAGATAGAATCAAATGTGCACAAAATCAAATATGATACATGATGATACAATAAAATTAGATACATAGTGGTTAGTTGCTTTTCAAATTACCGTAATCACTTCATCCATAAGAATTCCATAAGTGGTAATCTTGTGGAAAAAAATTAGGGGAAAATATTTCAAAAAAATATAAATATAAACTGAAACTGAGGTGAACAAAATTATTGGCGGGATAAAAAAGATTTCCTGTCTTTCTTCTTCTTCTTCCTGTACCTCTTCAGACAGAAATATATTGGGGTTTAAAAAAAGAGGGGGGGGGCAAAAACAACATCCACTCGTGGGTTAACAAGAAGTGTGAGTGAGTATTCTACCGATATCAATCCCGATTGTAGTCATTAATTTACCTACACTGTCGACATCAAGTACATAGGAAGGATTGAGAAATTATCCCTAAAATATTGACTAAAATTATCTCTGTCTGTCTCATGACATACACTTGCAATCATCAGTGAAGAGTAAACCTTAGTTACTTACTCCGTCTACAATGTAACCGTTGTACTCAGTTGTGTGAGTGACTTGATATGATTATGAGCAATAGTTTGTGCTCGAAACGTCATCAGTTAATATTACTGTGTTAACACTGTGTGATTTATCAAAATAAAAACTTATCTATAATGGAGTTGTACTCTATTATAGTCCCCAAGTTTTATGCTTATATTATAAAAGAAAAAGTTATTAAATCGGCGCTACCCTATAACTTTGTCTGTCTCTTTTCTGTTACGTCACAATCTTTGCCACAGTTTTGAATTTCGCTCAATGAACTAAGCTTATTATTAAGTCTTGCAATTTATTTATGCTTGTTTACACAACAATTTACTTTCAATTACCATATTTACCCAAGCTCTCTTCCAAGTTGCTTCATAATATATATAATATAAATATATATATATATATATGAATAAAGCAAATTTCCCAACAGCTTTTGCCTAAATGCGTTACCTGTACGAGCATTTACTTTCTAATGGAATATCATTTCATATTGTTGTGAGAGCTGGCTGTTAGCCGAAATTGGTGGACAGTAATTTACGTCAATGTTTATGTCCCCAATATTGATCGTGAGAAAAAAGAGAACAAAGGCTCTACCTAGGCGGATACAGTTAACATATAGATGATCTGACATTCAAGAAACAGCCAAAAAGAGATGCAAGGTTAAATTTCTGTGAGAAACAACCAATCACAGGACTGTGTTTTTCTGCTAACAACAATCTACAATATGTACATGAAAATCTATAAATACGTGTTGACTCCTTAATAAACGATCTGTTGCCTGACTCTTGCCTTCTGTCGTTACAATATAATCACCCAAATATTTGACCAAACTTAAACAAAGCGCACATAAGATGACTTGTAAGTACTCTGCTATCAAATCATATTCAATATAAACTTGAACATAGAATGTATGCACGGATTATTTGCACATTAACCGGAAATTCTTTGGTTAACAGATATACTGACTGGCTGAACAGCGGTAAATAACCAATTCATGCACCTAATAATTCTAGAAGTACCGTTGAGATTTCTTAAGAGAATATAAGAGAAAATAACAAGATTGATATGGTGACAGAATTCCAAGTTACAGAAATTTGTCTAGCCTGATTGGAGTAGTGGAGACACAGCTATCAGTCAATCATTTCTTTCCAGACAAACCCAGACATCTGAATGCGCATGAGGAACTGCCTAGCCATAGAATATGTTGTTCCAACTGTTAACATTATTGCTTTCTTAGTGAAATCTTGTCAGCAGAAAATAGTAGTCATAGTGATTCTTATCTCAAGTTTAACAATCATCAACTACAAAGATTACCAGTGATACAAGAATGCATAATAATAGAAAAAGTAATGACTGAGGAAATAAGCTTACTTGACTTTTTAATTGAGCATATTGACGTCTAGCTAAAGATAGCTGTTCAGTTAAATCACCAGCACGATTACACTGTTCTTCAGCAACACGTTCTAATTCAGCAACTTCACGAGCTGTACGCCTTTTCAAGCGTTTTGATTCACGTTGAGCAGCTATCAATGCTGATTTAGTATCCATTAATACTTGTAATAGATTATTATTATTATCTTGTAGTTGAAGCGAATTGTTCAATTCCAGCTCATTGTATCGATGATTATGGGAGATCTGTTTATTTACATTATCACCTCCCGTTGAAGATTTTTGTTGTTCCTGTTGTCGTTGTTGTTCTATAAGAGAAGGGCACAAATTATTAAAGAGAAGCTAATAAACCTAATGCTCTTGAGAAGTCTTCAATACATCCCACATTTAAGAGATAATTTCATATATATTTAATAAGACTTGTTGTTGAAGCTCCGCGTTCCACTCGGAACACGAGGGAACAATAATATATTAATAAAAGACAACCTTACATTAGCGCTCTTTGATATTGATGCATTGGATAGCGGGTGACGGTGAGACTTTCAGTTCGGAAAGAATTAGAGAGGGCTAAAAACAAAACCTGCCATCAATATATGAAGACTTTGAATGCTGGTTTGTGATACAAAGAGGTGCGGACAGAATCACTGAGGTCATAGAGACGCTAAGAACCAATAGATGAAGACTGTTGGCGACATAACTCAAAATTGTCCTCAATGGTGCAGATGCATTCACTCTTTGTTATCTTCCAGATACAGTATATCCTCCATTCTCTCATATATTTCTCTTCATTATAGTTCCTATGAATTTCTTCCTTTACCTTTGTGTGCTGTATGGAGGTGTGGCAACTTTGAACTACTGCACTTTTGTGCAAAGTCCTACGTTGAGAAATCAGTAGGATTTTTGGTATCAATGTGTCCTCCGAACTCTATGATTTAATTGTGCAACTTTAATTATCCAATCCCGTTATATCTATAGAGAAGACGGAGGTGATGAAGATAACCAAACAACATCATCAACAACAACAACCAGCACCAATCACCATCAATAGGAGAGATTTAACAGAGGTTACTTCCTTCATTTATCCGGCTTGGAAGTACTATTTCAACCACAGGCAGTCGGAACTGATGAAGATGTCAAAACCAGCCAGCCAGCCAGCCAGAATCGGAAAGGCAAGATACGCCTTCATCAACCTGAGACCAGTTCGGAAATCTTCCGCACTTAGTCACCGTAAAGAACAAGATTCAATTTTTCAACACAAATGTGAAGTCAGTCAGTTCTTCTATACCAGTCGGAAACTTGATCAGCGTGTCACGAAAAAAATTTTCAACAGGTTACAGACTTTTATCAGCAGCTACCAACTTCGCTAGCTCCATACTGAAGATCCAATGGCCGGCCGGCCGGCTGGTCAGAAAGAATGAACAACAAGAAACTATGGCTTATACATATAACTCGTCACACTAATTCATTCACTGTAGAACCTGATGATGAAGTTATCGAAAAGCGTATTCATTGTTCATTAATCATTTTCTTTGGAAACCGGAATACTTTTTGAAAGTCTTTTGATGATTTATAGCATAATGTTTCCGTATGGAATTTTGCTGTTCCTGGTGCTATCTCACGCGCCACCTACACATAAAATCCTAGTGAAAAATGAATTAAGTATCTACTTCATTTTGTTAAAGAAAAAACTTCACTTTGACTTAATCAAAAAGTTGAAAAGGGAATAAAGAAACTTGGGGAAACATACTTAATTCCTCCAGCTCCTTTTCCATTTCTTCGTATTTACTTTTTGCCAACTCTTTGCTGTTTAATTCATTCTGTAGATAAAAATAAAATAGGATTTCGCATAAAGTACATCAAATAAAAATTGGTCTAGAAAAAAACGCTTGTATTTCCTAATATTATTGAATGCCAATCACTTGGATGAAGCTGTATGCTTTGGGGAGTGAATAATAAAACACACACATTCGGTTTAATCGTGTTTTCTGAGCTGAATAATCTTCAGAGTTAACCCACCCACCCCACCCCCTCTTTGTTATCTTAACTGCAGTAGACTTGCATCTCTGTAATTTTTCTAACTAGAATCTCTACTTGTGTGAAGACTGATTATACTGTTGACCCCGTAATTGACCTTTAAATCTAGTTTTTATGCCAGTAATTTTCTGGCATACACAGCACTTCCTTTGCATACGACTTCTACATTTTTCCTGTCGAATCACCGTTCTTAGTTGTACAAGTGCACTGGAATGAAGCAATAAATATTACACCTTTTGGCTGTTCATCAATGCAAACATACAGAAATGTAGTGTTTTTCGCAGTGATTGTAATCTGTCTTATAAATAGTGTTTATCTTATTTTTTGGTTGTCCTTTATCTTCAAGTTACCTTTAAAGATGTTGTCAAGGTTGATAATGAGAGGTTCACAATTAATAAGTGCAACTCAGAAAATATAACAACAAAAATCCAAAGCAAAGCGAATAATTAAAATTCTCGTACTAACAATACCAAACGTCAGAGTGATACGAGAAATTTCAAACAAAGAATCTACTTGAGCTAAGGTGCTGAGCTACTGGACAACAATAATGACTCATAAAATTACGAAACTTGAATAATGGTACAAATACAAAGCCTACTGATAGTAAAACTATTTTCTGGGCAGCGTATTATGAAGGCGCACAAACAGTAAAATTATGCGCCTAAGAAGAGAAACCAGGACAAAGCAGGCAGAGTAGATCTGCTCAGACTATACTATGCAAAATATAACTCTACAATATTCAGTATCAACTACAAAGATAAGAACTAACGAGTGCAAGCAGTAGAGGAATATCATGCAAACAACTACAAGGAGTATAGTGAAGAAGAACAATACCAGTATACTAGAATGTTTTCTTTATATAAAGTAATAGTTTTCACAATTAGAGAACACCAATGATGAAATTTGAAATGATCTATACTACTGATTCATACAAAGTAGTATGAGAGATGGAAGCACAAATGATGAAAAAGGGCCTCTAAACTAGGTGGACCATGAGTTTCATCATACGGAAATTTCATCAATCTGAATTAAAAACAACATTTTTAGTGATGAATGGTTCAATTTTCAACAGTAGAGAAAGAGGGATCTTTTTAATCACCTTATAAGTTAAACGTCAAGTCAGTTCTTCTATACGGATCAGAAACTTGGCTGGCGGGTCACAAAGAATATTTCCAAAAGCCTGTTGCAGACGTTTATCAACCGACAACTGTCTTCGCTGGACCTATACTGAAGACCAGATGGCCGGGTCGGAAAGAATCACCAACAAGAAACTATGGCTGGGAAGAAACAAACCAAGAACCAATCGCCAACCAACAAATATGCAGGAGAAAGTGGAGATGGATTGGACACTCGCGGCTGAGGAGGCCGCTGGGTGACATCGCGAGCGTCACGCCATTGCTCGAGTGGAACCAGGCCGAAAGGGAAGCGGCGAGTGGGATGTCAGTGCAAGGGTGACATGGAGGAGATCGTGTGAAGAGGAGTTGAAACAGTATGGACTAACATAGATTCAGGTGAAAAGTACAGCAGAAGACAGAAGTGGCAAGTGGAGACGTGCAGTTGAAACCCTATATTCCACTAGAAACCCAAGTGAGCAATAATAATGATAAAAGTTAAAACCTTATTTATCAGTGCTGAAAAGTACTACAATAACAAATCATAACAAGAGTTACAAGTTACTGGGAATTTGCTGCGAATCACATTCAGTATTGCAAACGAGAAAATGATTTATACAAGGTGATGAGATGAAGAATAATACAGAAACAATGCCTGATTAGCTGATTACAGAAATAGAGACAAATGACACAAGATTTTGCTGGAAAGTTAAGATACTTTGGAAGTAGGCAGACAACCTTTAAAAGCTAAGATTACAACTGTTACTAACGAGAGGAAATTAAGGGAAAAATCCCCTTAGAAAAATAAACTAATAATACCAGTTAAAAATAAATAAAACTCGTAAGGAGAAATATACCTGGAGGATATTCAATCTTTCATTTACTTCATTCAATTTAGATGATTTTTTTGACAGTTCCAATTCAACAGATTCTAAATGTTGACGTGTATTATGAAGGCGCTTCAAAATGGAATAAAAATTTTTGTGAAGAGATGAGGTACAGTATTACATTGAAACAGTGAAATTGTAAAGAATTAAATGTTTATTAATTTCCAGGAAAAATTCGAAGTGAAATGGTAAATGCCTACAACTGGATTGATGTACATACAGGTCTACCTAGGAGAGCAGGGAAATCCTGATTCCAAACCTATGATGTACATGGGCTCTAGAATCCGAACATATCAAATGGCGTATGAAGCTCTTTTGCTTACCAAAAACTACAGTGACGCAATTCCTGATGCTGCCCCATACTTCTGTGGATCACATTTCAAACACATGGGTTGGGGGTGGAGCCTCAGAAGAAAATCATCTTCTTAAGTCTACGCGTCTGAGCAGTAAGTATCCCAGTACTCACACAAACTGTGAGATTTTGTGTGGTGCGTGTTTTGGTGGCCATAATGTACCAATTTTAATGTTCTAACGTCAATAATGATGATAATACATCAAAAACGTACCCTTGATCGATATGGTTTAATTACTTTAAAAAGATTGGCACTATCAACTCAATTTACGGCACCTTTAAATACACCTACTTTTCAACCTAAATCCTAAAACCTTTTCGTTTATTTTCTTTGACTGACTTTCGAAGATGATAGTTTATTAGGTAAAGTGTATTATTAAATAGCAGGGTCGCTTGGCCCCTAGTCACTTAACACTGCTAGAATTTTTGTAATCAGTATCGATCACCTCAGTAGTTGTACAATTTGAGAGCACAACTAGTATTAAAACACATATAAGGACGGATTATATTAAGACATGTTGGTTGGCTATTCGAAAATATAAGAATAAATGTATCTAGAATGCTAGTTTATTTATAATCTTGTATTTGAATACCTTAACTAAATTTCTTACATCGTTCAGCCAATAAAAAGTATGTAACATTATAGCCAATCACGTGACCCGACTTTAGACAAAAGTACTTAACCTACATGACAATCTGGAGTGTTGGAAATAAATACATCAAATAAATAATATAGCATAAAATACGTGAAATCGCTTGCTATCATAAGTAGAAACGTCGAGATGTGGCACTAGGCTTTCAGTTAATAGGTTTCGGATTCAAGTCTTGTCAGCCCTAGCGCAATAATTGTGGCTCGTAGCCTGATATATATGAAAGATTTAATCCGGGTAATTAAGTTCAATCAACAACAAAAACGTAATTAGGAGAAGTTTTTGAATGAATAACTCACTGATAAGAATTGTAAGGAATAACTAACAAGTATGTTATTCATATAAGCCCTCTAATTATCATTTTACTGAATAAAGTAAATCTTTAAAAATCATATTTATTCATAGTTATTTTTCATTCCTCGCATTCCGAATGGAATATAAGGATTCAAGCTTGAGGTTTTTAAATTTTAGTAGCAATGGTATACCGATTTTTTTAGGCATACTGATGCTAGCCTCACGTCCGTCCAACTACCTTCCTTACCAGACTTACCATTGGTTAAGTGAGGTTTAGAAATGAGTCGGTGGGGAATCAAACCCTGGACCAAGTACATGGTTGGCGAGCATTTCATCGCAGAATCACCGACGCACAAAGTGAGACTTACTTTTACTTAAATTTATTCGTGTTAACAGACTGAGAACAATGATTTAATTTAGATTTTCCCGTCGATTGATTGGACCGAAGTGCTCGGTCTTAGGTTGACATGTCGGCTTCTTGTGCAAATGCTTCGACGATGTCTGAGCATGTAATTAGAGGTTAATTAGTGGATAGTGACTAGCAGTGGATTCCAGGATGCGCACTTCGTCCTATTTGGGACTCGTCACTGGATTTACCTGCGCATTCCGCAGTAAGTGATGTTCCCACCGGTCTCTGAGGCCGAGCGCTTCGGTCCAATCAATCGACAGGAAAATCTCAAATTCAATTAAATAATTAATATGACCTGTTGCGCAAGAGGTGGCTCTAGTGGCCTAAGTGGTCTAGTAGATAACGCTTTGGCATTTAAAACTATGGGCACTGGGTTCGAGCCTCGGTGGGAACACCATCACTCACTGCGGAATGCAGGTACATCCATTGGCTAGTCCCAAATGGAACGAAGTGTGCATCCTGGATTCCACTGCTAGTCAACATCCATCAATTAACCTCCGAGAACAATGATGTTTCAAATTGTATAGGAGTAATTGATAGCAAAACTAGAAATAACATTTTCCCGCATTACAGATATATTAACTGTGTATCGAATAAGATGTAACATATTTAGCTGTTACATCCCATTTCTTACAACACACTTCACAAATATAAGGCAGTAAACATATATGACAAAAAAGCACGGGATGCTTACCTCGTCTAAGCGACATTGTTCACTGTCTTTTGAGATTCGTAAGTTATTCAGTTCCTGGAAACATTTATTTAAAAACACTGGTGTTAGTAGGTTTAGTTAGAATAATCAACATTTTTGTGTACATAACTAAACACGTGAAATATGTTTAATTTGAAAAAAAAAACTATTAAAATTATTTCTTAGCACGGAAGACGAGAAACAGTCGTATTATGTGGTAGAGCAACAAAAGTTAACATTCAGTGCTAATTTAAGCTTTACCTATCGTCATATTCTATTGCTTATGACTGGGTTAATCAAAAGAATTAACAGAAAGCAAAGCTTAGTCCAACCCCATTTAAAATAACAAGCTATTCACAATGAAGCATCAACACTTGTTGCTACGGCTATCATTTCTCAAGAAATTGTACATATTTCGATCACGAATTGACTTCAGTTAGAGGACCATTGAAAACCAGGAACTGTTGGACTGCCTCCTCCTTTCTGAGTCTCTTAATCGTACAGACCAATGATACCAACCTGGATTGAACCCAGGACCTTTAGCTTACAAGTTGAACTCATATAACATTCAGTTGCTGGGACATTATCAGGGCGAGGTACATGAATGTAGCACACTGACTTCTTCAAACCTTGCACACAACCATTAGGTTGCATATTATTCCATCGCACTTAGCGGATCTGGCAACAAAAGTTACGAGAACACCATCTGAGCATATGACAGGTTAGATACACCTGGGATGGATGGAATCCAATGACCCATCAGTTCTAGTCGCAATGGACACAAACGAGTTCACCTTAAAGCCTGAAAGTTCTGTATTCGATCCCTGAAGAGATCATAGATGCATGTTGTTGAAGAGTCGCAAAAAGTACGAAGCGTCTATCCAGTACTTTCTGGTATTCAATAGTCCTTTAACTGAAGTTAATTCGTGATCGAAACTAAAGTCAATCAAATTTCTGCAAATCAACTCTTGAAGGATATTTTTAGACCTCAAGTTATCACAGTCAGTCGCGTTTATTTTGCTTGTACTGAGTATTTATTTGTTAGTTAAGAAATTGTGCTATTTCAGATCATTTTGCAAGCATATTTCAATATAAAATTTACAACAAACTACTGCTCAATTAATTGGAGATGAATGTTTTAACTAAACTTTTAAAGTCTAACAGTAGTGGACATTTATATCAGTGTAGTTCCAGATTCAACAAAGGCTCGGAGAAGCAAGAAGAACATTCGTTATTGTGAATAAATGAACATTGTATTGACTTAAGTTTATGATTACAGTCAGTAGACGACAGCTGCTCATCAAGAAATAAACTACGTACACTGTAATCATTATCGTGGCTTATTCTATGCCGCATGACAAACAAGATTACAGTTATAAAACGATCGTGTAAGAAGATGATGTGAACTGAGTAATATAACAAGATAGTAAACATTAAAACTAGAGTTCCAGAAGAGTTGAGTTATGGCTCATTCCTTTAGGCGTTCAACCTCCAGCCAGTGGGTCATCAATTCGAAGTCTGCACCACACACTGAAGTTTGGGCAGCCACCGCTGGTAGGTGTGGCTCATTTGTCAACTGCATGGATATGCAAGTGGTTTATTGAGCTGCATTGAGTTCAGTTGAGTATCAAAAAAGGGTTAGGTTGTCATAATACATTGATTAAAAACCAGGACGGAGAAAGAAGGTTAAAAAAATAGATAACAGAAAAACAACTTAATTATATTGAGAAGACATTAGAAAATTTCAGCAAAGAATATTCTTTTCTATAATTTCCTTTTCTAGCTCTACAAATATACTCTAGAATAGTCGTCATTAACAATATTTGTGTATATTAAATACTATCGATTTGTTAAGACCAGTGAAATTCAACTTCAAAAAAGATGCATAAGTTATAATAAGTATAAAAATGTAACAGTAAATAGAATATCAAATAAAATTAAGGAAATTTCTACAACAAATTGAGGATCATTAAAACCTTGATGGTCAAGGTAAGAAAAGTGTTTCAAACAATTTCTTTTGGGTACTCAGATTAGGCTTCTCAATGTATATTCTCCAACAGCCTCAGTAATATGTAGTAGCCGAACTTTCGAGGCAAAATTAAGCTTTGTTGATATACGACAGATGACTTTGAAGACCTTGTTTACATCAGTTTTGTGTTCTGTATCTACGAGATGAGACAGTATAGAACTATGAATGAACTTTGTCTGTCCCACATTGGATGGTGTTCGGAAATCCGACAATAAATACGCCTAATTGTACAGTCTAGGTAACTGGTTACACAGGAACAGCGAAAACGATTCGCACATATAGAAGGGGTGAAATTAGGGAGTTTATATTTAACTCCAAAATGCAAAATACGGAATGGTTTTGAAGACACAACATACTTCAGCAGCACTGAATGCTCTTTTGACTACATTTCTTAGGTGGTGTGTTAATATCTCACTGATGTTATCGCCAAGGAACTGAAGTTGTAAGAACAAGGTTTTTTTAGGAACTGTTAGTACTTTGACCTGCCTTGACTTTTGATTCATATTCTAATCGATAAATTTTTCTGGGTAACTATTCTCACTCAGCAACTGTTTAATAATATTAATCTCGTCATTAAGACATACATCAAAACAGATTGATAAGGGGGAAATCAGACATGACTGAGTCGATGAATTTATTATTTATTAAAGTTAATTTGACATAGACTTTTATTACTGTCAATAATTTTGATTCCGATTATTGTGCTTTGCGTTGTTATCGGCTTCAATAGATTGTCTGTTTTTCTTTCATTCCTTCATATAACTTTTATAATTGACAAATATACTATTGGCTTAAAGAATTGTAAATTTTTCATATTATTTATACATCGGCTTGTAAACTTCCTTCGACTGTTTCTTTAGCTATACACACGTCAGTACTTTCATTTCTTAACCTTTGTTGCTGACATAAAACCGACTTGTTAATAAGTAATACAGAATACTCTCTCAGTGATGATGGTGAGGACAGTGAATGAATTCGCGAGAAAGCTTGACTTTCAGCCGAACAACATTCACTACAGAGAAAAATTTAACAATAACCAACGATTTTTAAGCTACATAGGTTAAATGTTTTATATGCTATTCTAGACAACTACTTAGCACGAAGGGGGCATTGTCTTATTGACTAATTCAAATACTCAGTCCTCAATAAGGAATCCACCCCCTCAGTTACCCGATATTGAAGTTTAATGTACATGAGGCTACTAGACATACTGAGCATAAGTGAGATAGCAGTAGTATGGTGTGTCTAACAGGCTGAAGTACGCGATATGAATTTTAGAAATAGTTTTTTAAGACTGACGAAGAACTGAATTGACTTAGAGAGCCACTGAAAACCAGAGAGTACTGGAAATATGTTTTGTCTTTGCTTGGGACTCTTCAAGCTCTCCTACACCCCATCCACGACCCCACAAGTTATAGGTTACAAGATGAGTTCATGGACTATTCAACTGCTGGGAAAGAATCGAATGGCTCATCGATTCTAAATTCTGACATTTTGCGATATTTAACGCAATGGTTTTCTAAATGAATTCAATTCGTGGTCAATCTTGAAACCAATCAAATCGCTATAAACCAACACTTGGAAAATAGTGGGGTGTTTTTTACTGAATTGAAATTCAAGTGCATAAGTCAATTAACTTTAGTATCTTATAAATTAAGAGATTTCTTTATACTGTTGTTACAATTTCCATAAAAAGAACAAAACAGTAACAATTAGAGAAACGAAAAGAAATAAAATAGAGTTACAAAAAATACATAGAAAAATTATTAAGTTTAATGATAAGTAAAAATGAAGTGTCTGTAAGACAAATGACGTCATGAAAATGAAGTGTTTTCATTTTTAGGGTAAGAATTAAGGGACTCAAAATTCCAGATGACCAGATATCTCACAAGAAAATACAAACCTTACAATAATGAGTAAAAAATCTTTTGAGTGAACGCGTGTTTTCAATAATATCTTCTTAAGGCTTTACAGTTATACATTCATGAATGTTAGAATACAGTAGTAGCCATTGACGATAAATCAAAACTGTATTGGGGTACAAATATAAGACGGAATGATAGTCTGTCGGTTAGGATTGTTAATTAAACGCGTATGAAACGTAAAGTCATTTAGAATAAACAATTAAGTGGTTTGCCAATGGCTGTATACCGAGTGCCAAGCAATCTGACCAAAGGTACATGATTACTTCTCCTAACCACAGATGAAGTTATAGGGATCAATAATACGAAACTAACCTACGTGTGCAAAGAGAAAGTACAGCCATCCTCTTTGTTTACCTTAGTCTACCCTACGGTCGTCTGGGACGTGATCACCTCATACTGCCATATGTCCTTCTTATTCCCCCTTTTTCACCTGGTTTGCTTCAAAACATTATTATTTGTCACCCGTTAGATTTACACCAAACTTATCTTGTCTCCACTAGTTGATTACAGTTCACTTATACGACCACTTTATTTTATCATGATATTTGTTATCCCTAGAACTTACATTCAGCTTACCGCATTTCTTTGTTCAGATTTTTGAAGTATTCACATCTCTCTCACACAACTGAAGATAACTCATTTATTGAATACAATGGTACGTCATTTGATTGTTTATTTACATTTTATTTTGTGTTTTGAATGACTGCTAGCTAGACATGCATTTAATTGGTGATTTTAACCAACCGATTATTATACTTCATCTGATACAGTTTCAGATGCTATTTCGATATATGTTTACTGGCTATTGTATTTTATACCGTTCATGAACCTATAACGCTAGAGAGTTTGAGGAAGTTAGTCATTGAGAACAATTGTTCGCTGAAACATTTTTCTTGTTCTGTGAATATACTATAGGGATATTTAAATTAATAATGAATAATCGATTTATGGATTGTAATATGAATTAAGTGTAAAGACTGATCGTTTTTGCTAATACACACAACCAGGGATTAAATTCCTAATGATAATTCTGTTGAAGTTACGGCTTAAGATGCCTAGAAAGACAATAAAAAGCTTAGCAATTGAACCATTTAGTTAAAAGCACTTCAACGAATCACAGTGTACACACCTTCCTGTCCCTGTATAAAATCTTATATTGCTATTGACATTAATTTTATGTCTGCTACCATATAATGTGGCAAAACCTTCATAGCATGATTATTCTTCTCTATTAAAGCGTACACACAGTTAAAAATGATGGATTACTATGTTTGGATTTGTAGTGAGTATTTGTCCCCTTTCCTCAATAAGGGTAAAGTCCAACTGCATATCATCTGTGATACATATTTATAGTTGGAATCTTCAGAACCTCATCTCCAGATTGTACAATAATGAACCAATAAATAATGTGCATTTCAATAAGAGATACATAAAATCTTTGAAAGAACGATAAAAAAATAATCACGAAAGAGGTGGATTCCCCGTTTGCTTTCCCAACATTTCTGTAAGACAAGATTTCAGCGGGCGTCGAACAGTTCATACAAACAGTATAAAGTTCATATATTTTCAATCTGAGATACACATATGTTATATTCAACTATTAAGCTCGTCTGTAACTGATTAATTTCAAGAAGGAATTTGAGAAACGACGAGAAAGGAAGAATACTGAATAGTAGACTTATCCTGGTCTGTTACCCTTCTGAGATACGCTCCCTTGATTCCACGAAGAATACAGACCATAATTACTTGGAAATCCAAGTAATGACATTACCTAAACCACCCTAGGACCGCTACTTTGTGGACTCATAGAAGTTCATCGTTAGAAAATATCAGACAAACAGACATCAGATCAGAATTTAATTTGTGGATGGTGACTAGCAGTGGAATCCAGGATGCGCATTTCGTCCTATTTGGAACTTGTCATCTGCATGTATCTGCATTTACCAGTGAGTGATGACGTTCCCAGGGCCCATAGTTTCAAACGCCAACTTTGGGCACTAGATTCGAGCCTCGGTGGGAACACCATCACTCACTGGTAAATGCAAGTACATTCAGCTAACGAGTCGCAAATAGGACGAAATGCGCATCCTGGATTCCATTGTTAGTCACTATCCACTAATTAACCTCTAATTAAATGCCCAGACGTCGTCAAAGCATTTGCACAAGAAGCCGACATGTCAACCTGAGATCGAGCCTTTCGATCTAATCAATCGACGGGAAAATCTAGAAAAATTCAATTGAAGAACATCAGATGTTTAGTTTTTTGGGGCTTTTTAACTGTCCTGTAGCTGATATAAACGTATATCGAAATCTAACTGCTAGAAGTAACATTATATAGATGGAAAAGGGTAAATAACACAATATTAAATACATGTAACTGAAAATATAATGTACTGTTCTTTTTAAAAACAATAAAAATAATAATAGTAATATCAATTCATTTCAGTGTATAAGGTGCACGGTATGGTGAAAGATATTGTGCCATTTGATATAAAACTATTAAAAAGAAGTTATAAAATATGAATAAAAGCATGTATTGCATATATTTCATGCAACTAAGATGTGCAATTAATTACTATACAGGAAGGCATGCAAATAATAATTCACCCTTACTAATTGTGTTTACACTTATTACATACAACTACAACAAACAGTGCCTGCTTTTCTATATAGGAGTAAAATAAAACAAAACAAAGACAAAATAGTAGTCAACATCATGGATACTGTGCTTATATAAACAACTAGACATTGTTCAGGAGTACACAGCATCCCTTCTAAAGTGGAAGTATAACATTCACTTTGGATTAAAATTAGGCAGGCTTACAACACGATTATCTGATAAAGAATGCCGTGGAGTATTCTAAAGGAAAGGGTTAAAAAGAAATGTGTAAATACTGTGGGAAATTATCTCGCTAACAAGTGGGGACAATATCAATCGGTTAGCGACAATATTCATTAGTGAAAAGAAAAAAATAATAAATTCCCACCTTAATAACTGATTTGTTTTCTAGTTGCATCATTTTGTTTTCCTCAATTTTGGTTTGACTTTCATATTAGACTTTAAATTTTGAGTTTGAGTCACAGTATCACATCATCATCTTCTTACCATACTTCTTATACACCAAATTTTGGTTTATTTAGATCTTGCGAGTTCTACTAATTGTATTTTTATATCTGGTTACACAACTGTTATGACTTATCAAACTTATTCATAATATGGTCACCCCTAGTAAAATTATTTCCTTTTTACAAGAAACTTAGTCCTTATATAATTAATTATACACAGTGCAGTAATACGGTGATTATTGGCAGAATGCCACCCACCCACCCACAAACCATGCACGTGGTTCAGAGCTCGATTTCCGCGAAAGGCACTCGTTAATCTCTTCTAGTTCACTTGCTGACAGTAAGATTATAAAAGAGAGGAGGTTGGGTGTGCAGCTGACACCATTATCTCGTAAAAAGCAACAACACGACTATTGAAACTTCAGGACCTTAAGCCGTTTGAAGCCCTACGTTCCACTGGGAACTCAAGAAATGAAGAAAAAATACTTGAAGATATCTTATCATATCCTTGTTTCACTTCACTATGCCACTGTTTCAATGCCACTTACTGGGGAACTGGCTTCCTACTGTAATAAACAGATGTTGAAATTAGTATATGCGTCGTTTTATTGAGTATTCCAGGTCGAATGCGTCAGTGGCATAGCGGTTAGGACGCTCGCCGACCATGCACATGGTCCGGGGTTCGATCCCCGGCCACAGACGCACTCTTTTACCTCTCTAAGCTAGAAATAATACTGGTAAGCAGGAAAGGTTGGGCATGAGCCTAGCAACCCTATCCTGTAAAATAAACACTGCTACAGAAACTTCAAGCCACTAGCTTGAAGCCCTATGTTCCACTGCGGAACGTGGAGGAAAAAAACAGGTCGTAGGCAGTTGTAGAGAACTGATGAAATAAACTGGAACTATGCTATTCTGCACCAATGTTTATTCTTTCTCATTTCAAATTTATAAAACGGGGATTTGTGTATCGAATCTACACATATAAGTATATTAAATCGAAGTTTAATTAAAAAGAAAATAAATACACACTGAAATCACATTATTGCAGTGTAACTCGGTACAGAAGACCACACATAAGACTGGAAATCCCGAGTGTGTTAGCTACTATTATTTTATCCCATTGTTCCAAAGGATAGAGGATTTCCCCTATTGAAATCAAACAACCAACAGTCAATATACTGAAACTAATCATGTAGAAAATAAAAGCTCGAAATTTGAGCGGTATTATTCCCAAAACAACTAATTAAATGTGATAAAAAAAGAATTCAAAGAATAAACCACTAACCTCTTCAATAATTTTCTTTTCATTTTGTATTTTATTCAATTTATTCATCACATTTCTAAGTGAATCTTCACTTGCCAGTTTATTTTCATCAGCTAATTGTTTAGCTAATCTACCAGCATGAACTGCTTCTTCTAAATGACTTAATTCATCTGACAGAAGAACACGCTGGCGACGTTGTTCATTCAAGCTAGATTCGATAGATTGTTTTAATTCATTAGCTTTCTGTAAACGTTGTCTAATACGATAATCAAAACAAAATAAGTGAAATAATAAAGTTTAATTCATGGATGAGAAAGAAAAAGTAAAAACAAGTTGATTAAGTATGAGAAACATGTTATTTATGTAGCATAAAGATCTTGTACTATTGATGCGTTACAGCTCAACACCCGCATCGGTGGTTCAGTGGTAGAACATTGGCTGACCATGCAAATGATCCGGGATTTGAACCCTGACCAATACACTCTTTTACCTCAGTTTTCTCGAGAGTAAGGCTGGTAAAGAGGGAAGGTTGGGCGTGAGACTGGCAAATCCATCCAGTTAAAAACACCACTGCTACATGAACTTCAAAGCTCCAGCTTGAAGCCCCATGTTCCACTGAGAACGTAAATGAATAAAAAAAACTCGACAACAGTTAACACCGAAGGTAAGATCTTGATTAAGAGGAAACTCAGGATTATCACACCAGATGATCGAAGACAATCTCTTTTTGTATATGTGAATGCATTAGTCACAAAACTCGCCATTATTAAGAGAAGTGAGAGATGGGCTATCCGAGTAGTTTCATAAAGAAACATATGAAAACATCAGAGAAAAAACCTGAGACTCTGACTGCATGTAAGAAACATCTATTTATTAAGTTACAATTTAATGGTGACTTATCAAGTGAGATTCTACTCCAAAGACTTTCAAGGAGTATACGAGGAACATTTTACGCAGCACACCTGTGTTTCTCATTCTCTAGCCGACGAATGATTGAGACGCAAACGAAGGATAAGCTTGATATTTTTGCCACATCTATGTGCATTTATCAATTCAACTGCACCTGCGGTGACAGTTATGTTAGGAGTACTACTAGACAGCTTAGCCAACGTGTTAGTCAACATCTCCACATCGTAGTTTAGCAAAGGACAGACAAAAACAATCCGTAGCTCAATTTAGTCACATTTAATTGTTAGTGGTCATGTAGTGGAGACGTAATTCATCATATCCCACCGAATCTTTCCAATAGACTTCGTATTCGTCTACTGCGCATAGTTTAGGCGATAGGCATTCGGACTATTAAAACTAAACTATGCATTCAAAAGAAGTTCGTACAGCCATTATACCTTCCTTGGCCTATTAAGATATAACCGACTAATGACTTCTACGCCACTCCTTGTTTATATTTTCAACTCCTTTCTTATTATCTCTTAATCTTATCACATCTTCATTATAAGCGTGCTTCATTTCCTTCCCTTACAATCTAACATTACTTAATCGGTTCATTTGTTTTTACTAGCCTTTATCGACTACTTCCACCTGAACAATTGTTTGTTTAATCATACTGTTTTTCATTATTCGTGTTATCATAGATTGCCTCACTTTTTCATCCTTATTATTGATAAGATCATTATTATTATTACTATTATTATTATTATTACTACTATTATGGCTCACTGCACCATTTATATGCCCCATCTTATTATCCTATAGACAAAACACCATGATTGGTTCATATTTGAATTTTTATTTGTAAACTTATTAGAGTTAAGCCTGATGAGATCTAATTGAAACCAACAATATTGTTCGCTTAAATGTGTTCTTCTAAATTTTACTATTAAGAGAAACAATCTCTCTAAAGCTGAAATTAAGTGAGCAATAATCTATTGAGCGCTGGGTTGAAATCTCCCTGAGAACATTACCACCTGGGAAATTCAGATATATATCCTCCTGACGAGCCCCGAAAAGGAAAACAAGCGTATCCTAGAGATTCCACCAGATGAAGTCATGTCTAGGCTTTTGTGCTTAAATCCAACATGTCAACAAAGGTCGACAATTTCAGCCCAATAAATTTAATCAGCCAGAACTTCAAAAGTAATTTCATCAGGTAATTGTGTAGTTGAAGACACACTGACATTTTCATGGAGGACTTCCCAAGACCTTAACGGAAGTTGGTAAATTAGAGAAAAATTCAATTGCACTATTTTTGAAATCTCTCACTAGATCTAAATCGTATATCTAATGATTCCTTAATTTGACCTAGTGTCATCTAGTTATCCCGACATCCAGCTAAGTTGATATTTTATCTTTTATTACAACCCGAAATAAAAACCTGGATCAAATTACCAAGTGGAAAGTAGGAATTGCTTTATTCTAAACACTGAAAGAATGACATAATCATAATTTGTTTTAGATGTGTAAAAATTTTAGGCATTTATAAATAAGAGTTGCTCAATGAACACTTCTGTCTTTATGGGGTCGACAATGAACCACACTTATTCTGCAAGGGATTATGATACTACTTGGCTATCTAAACCACAGTAGGCGAAGCAAGATTCAAGCCTGTAACCCAGTGGTTGGAAGACTGGACCAAAGAGCCAAAGCCATACGCATGCACCTATACAGATATATACAGATAAATATAAATTTTACGACCTCGTAATTGCATTATTTTTTAAGTGATCTCTTTTATCAGCGTAGTGAAATGGATTGAATCGTCTATTCCTCAGCGCATGAACAGTTAATATGCGTGTATAAACTTACTGTGCAATATTGAATTCATCACGACTATCAGTTGTCTGTTTAAATATTCTATCACAATCAGCTAGTGCTGCATTCCGTTCAATATTCTTTTGACAAAGTTCCTTGGATGCTGCTTCAGATTCAGCTTTAATTCGTGCTAACATTAATTGTGATTCAGCAATTGAATCTTTCAGCAAAGTTTGTTGACTGAAAAATAAACAAAAAGAAAAGAAATGGCTCCTTAAGACTGTCATCATTTGAAAAATTTAAAAGAATAATAAATGAAATTACCTTACCCTTTTAGCTTAGATTAAAGTTAGCTAAGTGAAGTGTCTATTGAAAAGAAACAGTGATGAGGACCGTTACTAGACACACTAGATCGACGGTCTATTTAAATAGCCACTGGGCTACCAAGTTTTCTAATTCATCCATCAAAATGTAACATATTAACTAGATTTCATATTGTTCTAACCATACAACTACGTTCCTCCAATGAAACTATATTGTTCGTCGTTATTACTATTCTTTTTGTCTCATATCTCTGTCTGCTATCTCTGTTGTGCATTTCTTCTACTTTCTTCTCTAGCTTTGTGTGCTACATGGAGTGTGGCAACTTCAAATGCTGCACATCGGTGCAAAGTTCTATGTCGGAAACAGACAGACAGACAACTACGTTCATCAATTGTAACCTACTCTCATACACACTTTCAAAAACATTTCAACCTTCCGCCACAAATTTGTCGAAGAAGACTCAAGAAGAACCTCGTGGAGTAGTAGAGGATGTTTTGATGTTTCAAGTGACTCACTAAAAGGTACTGTACAAGGAGTAAATATATTGCAATAAGACAAGTTGGAAGTTCCATATTATGTTTAGAACTAACTTTTCAGAATAAAGCTATCATCAGCGTTGTGACCAAAGCCGACATATTGTTGTCTGAACGCAGTAAACCAATTTTTGTATTCTACCGTGTAGCTAACCGAAACTCCCTTGAGTTACGCACAGTTCGAAAATGTCCCGAAGGTATTTGTTTGAGATAAAATCTGCGGTACTCATTAGTACTACTAGGCAGATTTACACATCCAGAACTTTCTCAAGTATAAAACAAGTACTGAGGATCAAGCAAAATATTCCCAACAAGGTGGGATCAAAACTCTGTCAGTGAAAATCAATCCCTAAACACTTCCGGTAAAGTCTAGAATCAAAATTCCCATGTCATAACCTTAACATCATCCAAATAAATCACAATCACATTATCAACACCATCACACAATCGCAAAGAGAAGTGTCTAAATTAGGGAATTACACAAGAACAAAGACAAATAAAGGAACTAAGTCGACAGGCGGTATGCAAACGTTAGAGCAGTGATATACAGCTTAAGAGAAAAGTGGAAAATAATTACAATGTCAGATTGGTTGGAGGATTTCATCATGAGCTGACATCAGTTAGAGAACCATTGGAAAACCTAAGAGCACTGGACAGCTATTTCTGTGGTCATAGTTCGGGACTCTTTAGCAGTACGCACCTACCGCCACGGTTCGAAACTAGGACCTTCCGGTTACAAAGCTAGCAAGTTCGTAAACCATTAGGCCACTAGGACCTAATCCAATGGCCAGCTCATGAATTCTTCGAAGAGTTACTACCTCACCTGCAACTAGCTGCATCCTACTAGTCACGGGTTCCCACTAGAACCCCAGGTTAACTACCTGAAAAAGGCCAGTCACTAGTGAGCACCAGATCGATTTTCAAGTATTGGTTTTTGTAGGGATTTTGTTTGATTGGTCGGAGGATTTCATCGTGACCTGACATCGACTAGAGAATCATTGGAAAACCTGAGAGCACTGGACAGCTGTTTCGTCCTAGTTCGAACCTCGGCGGGAGCGTACTGAAGAAGAGTCCAAAACTAGGACGAAACAGCTGTCCAGTACTCCCAGTTTTTCCAATGATTGTCTAATCGATGTCAGCTCACGATGAAATCCTCCAACAAATCAAGCAAATGCCTACAAAAACCAATACTTGAAAATTAAAATGTCAGTTGAAATATCCAAATAAATGTCAACATTATAATCAGATCGTTCAGGAGGAATTTTCCAGACAATTATTTCGCCACAATTATTACTTTAGTACCGCACTGTAATGAGCAACATCCACCACTCTATCACTACTACTAGTTAACTGGTGTTATACACTCATATCCCTCATAAAATTCTACATTACAAAGTCAGTACATAAGTTTACACGCATGAAATCAACTGCAAAAGTGCACATAACCCAGTAACAGCCTCAAGTAAACTTGTATAGGACTTGTACATTAACCTACAAAATAACCTGAATTGACAAGATTTCAATTATATTTAAAGTGCTGAAAATATTTTATAATTATATTGCAAAGGTATCACATAGTTATCACATAAGTAAGTGTTACATGAAATCCATGTGACCCAAACAGGATAGCAAGAGAAAGAAGTATTGTTTGCATTCATTTTGAGATATGATATTTTCTTTTCTTTTTTTGCTTATCGTTAGTTAGACAAGTTATAACAAGAAACACAAGTTCTCTCATTTTTACAAAGTTTAGATAAAATATATATTGTCTAAGTTTCATAATAATAATAATATTAAGCAAGTCGATGTTACTATAGTTACCACGAGGTATAATAATATCAGAAAGAGAGAGGGAGAGGGAAAGAGAGAGAGAGAGACAGAGTCAATAAATAAACAAAGCTTATAAGGATTTAGTAGACACTGATTACGTTTCACTTCTGTTCACCTGAGTTTATGTTGTAATATTGAATGAACACTAAAACATTATTACATCGAACAGTGCAAAGCGGTTAAGTGTGATAGAGTCAGAGAAAAGAAAAAAGGGAACAAAAAAGTTATTGGTGCCCTAAATTCATACCACCGTTGTTATTGTTGTTCAAGTTGTACAAAGAAAATAAAACTGAAACGTTATTCTAAAGTTTAATTTAACTTTGAGCTATACTACCAAAAAGGACAAATTATTCTGTTTGTTCTTTTCTATATATTATATAAGGTAGGCGATTTAGAAATCACAGCGACTAAGCCAAGTGCGATAATAAGACTGATGCGAGCAATGAGAAAAACGACAGGAATAGATGAAACAATATACTACTCATTGATTGAGGTGAGTAATATGCAGTTTTATGCAGCAGAAGAGTTTAAACTTTTTATGTAAACCCAATATAAGTCTCAACTATACACGATCAGGAAGGCAAAATTGAAATTCGTAGATATGCGGTAAATGACCCTGAAAGCATGGTTAACGTCAATCTTGTGTTCTGTATCAACCAAATGAAATAAAATAGCGCTGCGAATGGATTTTGTTTGTCCATTGCTTAACCACACAGAGTGATGTTCGGAAGTTCGACGAGAAACACGCCTAATTGTACGGCTATGTAACTGGCTCCACAAGAGAAGTTATATTGGTAAACACACATGGAAGAAGCGAAATTAGGCAGTTTGTCTTTTACTCCAGAACGAAAAAGAGAAGTAATTAGGCAGCAGGGAATGCTCTTTTTACCGCATTTTTAAGGCGCTGTGTTAGTATCTCGTTGATGTTGTCCCCAAGGAACTGCATTTGTAAGAATAAGGCCTTTTTTGGAACTGCTGGTAACTTCGGCTGCTTTGAGTTTAGATTAGTATTCTTATCAATAAAATTTTCAGGATAACCATTTTCACTTAGCAACCGTTTAATATTATTAAATTCTCATCAAGGCATTCATTGATCTTGCTCTGTGAACCAGGCACTTTATCAAATTGCGTTTGTATTTCAAGGGCACGAAGCTGTAAATATGAGTATATTGACTAGTTGATGTAGGTTTTCTATATACACTTCTTCTTATTGCACCATCCTCTTTTCTGGTCATAAGGACGTCTAGAAATGAAATACTAATCTTTTTCTTTCTCAATAGTAAAATTTATCCAGGATGTTCTCTGCTTCCTTCTCATTTTTCAAAATCAAAAATGTATCATCCATGTACCGACAATAGAATTAAAGTTCATTAATAACATCCTTCAAAGGCCCATTTTCTAGCCTCGCAAAGAAAATGTCGGCTAGAATGGGTCTTAATGGTTACCCCATTGTCACACCATCGATTTGTCTGTATAGTTCCTTATTAAAAAAAAGTGGACATTCATAGTACATTTCAAGAGAAGCTCTTTCATAAAGATATAGGAATGCCGACATCGATGTTTCGTCTTTTGGGTTCTTCGCATACAAGGTCCACTGTTTCCATAAGTGGTACATTGGTGAATAAGCAAGATATATCAAATGCTGTCATGAATTTATTGTCAACAATTAAATCTTTTATCCTTTCAACAAATCCAAAAGTATCCTTTACAGTGTGTTTCACCAACTCGGTATGAAGAGGCTGTAAAAGTTCGACTAACCATTTGGCTACGGGATGGTATGGTGAATTTAACATATCTAATACTGATCGAAGCGGCACAGCATTTTTGTGCACTTTAGGTGAGCCATCTGGTCTTAGTGTGAACGTTTCAGTGGGTTTAAGTGATGTATACTGATTCTGTGAGATAAAGCCTTGTTGTTTCAGTCTTCTCAATGTTTCCACTAACTGTTTGGACAATGAAAAGTTCAAATTAAAGGAAAAAAGAATTCTTTGGGGAAAATTCTTTCGACATATTCTAAATAGAAAATTGGATTATACACCAATGATCAGAGAGAAACAGACTTTATGAAAGGAAAAGTGAGTCGGTGGCACAGCGGTTAGGACGCTCGCCGACCATGCACATGGTCCGGGGATCGATTCCCGGCCGGCGCACTCCTTTACCTCGCTAAGCTAGAAATAATGCTGGTAAAGAGGAAAGGTTGGGCATGAGGCTAGCAACCCTATCCTGTAAAATAAACACTGCTACAGAAACTTCAAGCCACTAGCTTGAAGCCCTATGTTCCACTGGGAACGTGAAGGAGAAATTATTAATGAAAGGAGAAAGTGGACAGGAATACACATTTATCGTCACAGTGAACTCGATAAGTACTATAATATTCTTTCTAAAATGACATTTAAGTATACATATATATAAATGACGTAACTTACACTTCTAAGTCTTTTACTTTCGATTGAAAACTATTCCACTGAGATACTGTTATATCACGTTCATGTCGTAGATGAGCTAACTCCAGTTCCACTTGCTCCTTCTCTTTACGAATATGCTCTAAATCAGCTTGTTCACGGACAACATCTTTACGAACATTCTCATATTCTGTATTCTAGAAACATTTTAAAAAAAAAAATTACAATACTAAGTTGTATTTTTAATAGGAAAGGTATATATGCAATATATTTCAGGTTACGCAATTACAGTCCATCATACTGTGCATTCTATTCTAATAATGTGTATCTTAGTCCTACCATAAATCTAAGGTCGAAAAGTACAGCTTGAGAGTGTATTGAAGAAGACATTACCTCTTTTTTTTAAAAAGCATCACAAGAGTGTGGCTAGGACATATGATCGATACTAACCGACAAAATTCCTCTATTAAGACAGCTTATTAATAACGACATCGAGTGTGATACCTTTTCATCCCAGTGTAGATTTCGTCACGAATCAACATCAGTAAAAGATTTCTGAAAACCAAACACTACCCGAAAGCTGTTTTGTCTCAGACTGGTAGTGTTTATCAGGTGCACCCATGAGCCCATCGAACACAGGACCTTCAGCTTATTAGACCAATTTCGTTGACGATTCAACCACTTGGGCTGGGATGCAATACCGTGATGGGTGTACGCTGCTGAAAAGTTGCAGTCCAAAACGAGACAGCTGTTCAGTGCTTCCTGATTTTCAGTGATCTTTAACTGACCTTTTTATCGTGACGAAATCTACATCGACTGACTGACTGGTTTCAACGAAGAACTTTGCACATATGGGCAGCAGTTCTGGTTGCCACACTCCTTCTGTGTACTATACAAAGCAAGAGAACAGGTTAAACAGAGGTTCAAAAGAGAGATAATAAACAGAAATACGAGGCAAAAAAGCAATATGCAAGAATAGTGCAATTTAATTGGATATTATAAATCACAAAGAGTGAATGCATTTAAGCAAGCCTTTGAGAACGATTTTGGGCAAGCCATATCAGCAACTGTCTCCAGCCTTCATTGGTTCTTATCATCCTGAGGACACCAACTAGGCAGCTAACTTACACCTCTCTGCATGGCTTAAACTAACTGTTGTGGATTTAATTGGCTGATGAAACCATGTTTTGGTTTGACCACCACTAACCAACTCTTTTCCAACCTGATCCTGTGTCAGTTAGTTAACATTGGCCGTCGACGAAGACGACGGCTGTGCTAGCATGCGTAACACATGTCCTAATCATCTGAAGAGGTATAACTTCACAACCTCGTCGACTGATTTCTCTTCCCTCCTGAACTAGCAATTGACCGAAGCCTAACCTCAATATTGCTCACCTTAATACATCACTTAACACAGGATATAGAATGCGGACACCTTTGATCAAAAACAACTAGCCAGTCTTTTCATGTCTTCTACTTTCAATGGCCATTCCTCACTCTCAGTCACAATGGAGAACTGAGCAAACTGCTGAGCAGTACACACGCCCTTTGGTCGACAGCCAGCCGGATATCTACTAAGACAGAAATGGCATAAGTCAACTGAAAAATATCAGACGAGCCTTCTCTATCCATGCTGAGATTTCGTCAGTATGGGCTGATATAACTCCCCAAATAGGTGAAGTGGTGAACACACTCTTCCACTTCACTCCGTATATTTAAGCTGGGAGACAATTTAGTCCAGCCCTGTAGCATCATCTTACACTTGACAGGATCGAATCGCATGCCAAACATTCGAAGATTGCTGCTCAAGGTGTTCAGAAGACCCTGCATGTTTTAAGAGTCTTCGACATATACACATATTCTAAGTAAACGAGATTACCTCCTGGTAACAAGTCAATCCCTGAGTCACTGGAGTCAGTTATGGTTAAGTCGATTAGTATATCTATGATGAAATTAAACAGAAATGGGGACAGTGGGCATCCCTGACAGACACCACTGGTTGTCACAAATTCAGATGACAACTCTCCGTAGGTTTTAACCTGATTGCATGAGTACGAGTAATTTCAAATCTGCATTGAAATTTATCCATGTTCCTACAAAATCCGATAATCTAGATACCTTTTAAATTATAGGAAAAAAGGATCCCTAAAGAATGAAAATACCTTTAAAAACAAGAAGTAGATTCATTACTTCCAGGTGGCTAGTAATATACTGTATCAACTTATTGAATTATATAATGTGATGTGTATATCGAAAAAATGTACCTTTTTAATCTTTGCTAATTCTCGTTCACGTAATTCTTCATTTTCTTCATTTAATTGTGTTTGAAGTTTTTCTAATTGATTAATTAAATCACGTTGTTGTGAACTTAAGTTCAATAATCTTGATTCTTCTAAATGCGACATTTCTGTGAGATGTTCATATTCACGCTTTTGTCTAGTAACTAACGCAGTTAATTCGGAGACAGACTTTTGGAAGGGAACATTATAAAAAATATAATAATATATGTTAGTTAGGGAAATACAAGCACATAATAATAGTGGCATTACACAGAATGAAAGATGTAATTAAATTCATGTTCGTCACCCAAAATAACTCATGAATAACTCATAGCGGCGGCCTGCTTAAATCTTGGGCTACCAAAATTTCCATCCTACATATTGCATCTATTTCCTCGGATTTATTTTGTTTTAATCATTCAATTATGTATCCAAGTCGCATTACTTACTCTCGCGATTATTTAAAATGTCTTCAACCCGTTGATTTACGAGTATATAATAACGTTAAGAAAAAGCATCATGGAGGTTGGCAGAGATCATTAAAGTGTACTCCAATGCATCAGATGACTGTTCCTGTGATTATGAGCACAAATTGCAGGTCATTATCGAACAAGATTAACTACTTGCATTCTCTATTATACTCAAATGTATATTGTAATACTGGTGTAATCACTCTTCAAGAGACTTGGCTCCATGATTCATATGACGATAATTTAGTCTCCTTAAGTGGGTTCACAATCTACAGACAAGACCGATGCAGCTCAAAGAAGAAGAGAGGTGGTGGTGTTGCCACTTTTATTAATTCTCAGTGGTCTACTGCCAACAACGTCTGCTTCAAATTCTCAAATGACAATATTGACTGTATAACTGTAAAATGTCGACCTAAACACTTACCTAAGTATAGCTCCATTTTTGTCACAAATATCTATATCACACCTTGTTGCAGTCCCTCAGAACTATCTATCTTCGCTGATGAATTCACTATTTTTGCTGCTGCTTCGTTTGGTAACTCCTTATCTATAGTGACCGGCGACTTCAACTCCAGCGACTGCAGTTTTATTACATTGCTGGGCCATGCAAATGTTGTTAATTTCCCAACTCGACAAAATACTTCACTTGATTTAGTATTTGTAAATGATTCTGGAATATACGAAGCTCGTAAAAGAGCCCCGCTCTTCAATTCTGATCATTGTATTGTACGAGTCTTACCCAAAATTTACGGAAAGTTACACAGTAAAGCCCTCTCAAACTTGTCTAAGAAAGTTGTTCACAGATGCTACTCAAATGAGAACGTACATCATCTTAGAAACATGCTCAGTGACACAAGATGGGATTTGTTTAATGTTGATTCACTTAATGACAATATCTCTAATATTACATCCTATCTGAAATTCTGTTTTGAAATCTGTTGTCCAAAAGAAACACTATTCGTCAAATTTGACCGTTTCTCCTCGCCTCAACTTAAAAAGCTTCGTAGAGAGAAGGAAAAACTATATAAAATCAAAGATAAAATTGGTGTAAAAAGAACTAACTTCTTAATTAAGTCTGAAATGCAGAGGTTGAATGTAATATATAACCAGAAATTCATGTCCTGCAAAAATCCTTCTAATATGTGGAAACTATTTAAGGAAATCACTGGTGGTAAGCAGATAAACAATATTCCATATTCTTTTGATGTATGTACTCTTAACAAATCTTTTATTTACTCTCCCTCAAATGCCATGCTTCCCAGCATCACTTGTGTTAATAATAGCCCCTTTCCAGGTTTTAACACAAATGATGTTCAAAAGTGCCTCAAGTCTCTAAACCCTTCCCAGAGCTTAGGTCCCGATTATGTACCTAGTATTATTTTTAAAAAATGTTCTGATATTCTGTGTCACCCTCTTACTGATCTATTTAACAAATCTTTTTCCGATAATATTGTGCCTGCCGTTTGGAAGGACATTAAAGTTGTACCCATACCTAAATCTTCTACTGGAGCATGTGTCAAATTTAGACCCATTGCTATTACGTCTCCTTTTTTGAAAACTATGGAGAAATTACTTTTACTTAGTCTTGAACCTTCGCTTAAATCCTTTAATGACCCTAAACAATTTGCCTATAAGCACAGTAGAAGCACTTTAGATGCAGCTGCCGTCTTATATCATAACATTGCTTCCAGTCTAGACAAGGGGGCTAAATTTGTTCGTTGCGCCTTCCTAGACTATACATCTGCTTTCGACTCGGTCCCTAGGGACATCTTATTAAATAAACTTGCTGCTAGTCAAACAGAATGTTGGGCTGTTAACTGGTTGCATTCCTATTTCTCAGATAGAAAGCAGTACACCGTATATAAAGGGAAGTCCTCCACTTCATTGCCTACTGAAGCTGGTGTCCCTCAAGGTGCTGTTCTTTCTCCTTTTCTTTTTTCTTTCTTCTTGCATGACTTGCCTCACTCTGATGAAATAAACTTTGTGAAGTATGCTGATGATTTAACGGTTTCAATGGCTGTTAACTCCCAGCTAGATTGTACTAAAATAAATAGCTTTCTATCGGAAGTCAGCAAATGGTCTGAGTCTAACGGTCTTAAACTGAATCCTTCTAAGTGTCAAACTGTTGATTTCAGCTTAAGATGTAAACGACAGTTAAAAGAAGTCATCGATTCTCATGACACTTGTAAAATTGACGACAATGATATAGGAATCAAATCAGAAATTAAGTATCTTGGACTCATTCTCTCTTCTGATCTCTCCTGGTCTTCCCATGTCTTAGCAATCTCCAGTAAAATATTCCGCTTGACATTTTACATTAAGAAGTTAAGACACTCGGGTATAACTCAACCCCTCATCCTACAGTTCGTAAACTCTTGCATCCTACCTATTCTTCTTTATTGCTCACCCTTATTCTTTCCTGGTTTGCTTAAAAAAGACTATGTCACAATTCGTAGAATACTGAAGACTGTCAGTAGAGTGAGTGGTGTCCCAGTGGACCACATAGTTAACGTCGTTGTCGATAGGCATTTGACTTCGTGCAATAAATTTGCTAAAGGGATTTTGTCTGACTTGGAGCATCCGCTTTACCCTCAGCTTTCACCTTGCATCTCCTCAGGTAGAACAAGGAGTAACTTCAGAAAACTGTATGCTCGCACGTCTAAGTATAAGAATTCTATGATACCATACTTGGCACGTATTTTATGTGATGAAAATAGTGTCAGGCAAGAATTAACTAACCTTTTTCATCTAGTAAATAAACAATTTCCTCCATCCATCCTTATATACCTTCAAGTTTTACTTTTATTACTTCTATTATATTTATGGTCCTGTTACTTCTCTGTTTTACTCTCATAATTGCAAACACCAACTTATCTCCATGACGGCTGTAATCTTTGTTTTTCCCCTCACCATATCATGTAAAGAGAACATTATATTCAATATTTTTAAACATGTTAGGATTTCTATACCACATTGCCAATACTGTGTGACACAAGCCAACGGCAATTTTCACTTGTATTCTTATTATTATTACCCTAGCTGTTATCATTATTATTGCTATTTCCATTTTATATGCTGCATGTTTTTGACACTACCTCTATTGTAAATGTGGAAAATTTTCTGTGTGATTAATTTTATTTATAATTTGAGGAAATTAGATGCAATATTGTGATTAATGCTGAAAATTCCATTCTGTATCACAAGTACTGTTTTTGGAATAAAGTAAATCATTATTATTATTATTATTATTATTAAATTTTCTCCATATCTTAATGTTCAAATCCTCATATTATGTCCTTGAGTCGGAAAATTTAATCACCACATTTGTGACTAGCTTTCAACAAACTGCTGAGCATTTCTAAAAAGAGACGAAAGGAAAATATCCTATATGACTGACTACTTCTTCTGATCGAGCAGCACTGAGCCACACCATACGCTGTCAATTACTACTTTACTTAAGGGTCCTAGACGAATAGTAAATATTATGCAACAAAATACTCCGGGAATTTCTCACAGTAAGTACACATTTTTTCTAGAATGAAGCTACTATTATTAATGCTATACTTCCCTTAACGATGCTTAAAATTCATTAAACAGAGAATAAAATCATCTTCCTCAAGAATGGATCTTTAAGAGAGGCCATTGGATCTCGATTCAAATCCCATATTATATAGAAGGAGTAAAGTTCGAACTTACTGATCCAGACGCTTAATTTTTTACTCTAAGAGCCAAAGGTTATTATCCTTTTCCCTTATCGAAGTTTAAGGATTTCGGCACCATTGTCAGCGCCCCATAAACGAACTGGTACGGCCGAGGGTGAGTAGGCTTCAGTCTTGGCTATCGAAGTGTCCTCATATGGCCACGCGTTTATAGCCTCTACCAGATGAGTCCTATTCGCTGCTCTTATGTGGCAGAGGTGTTCTTCACAAAACTGAAATGCCGAATGCGAGCGTCTGGCACTAACAACCGGACTGACAGACATGGATCTGGAAAATCCTGACTCAAAAGCTATGGTGCACAAGACTTCAGAATCCAGATGGATCGAATGACGTATAAAGCTGTTCTAGTCATCTGAAACCCCTAGGAAGCAGTTCCACTGCCCTGTGGATCAGACTTCAAGTCAAAGGCTTGAGGAGTAGTCCCTTACGACAACCACCTGCTTCGGTTTAGGTGGCCGGGCACTATTCCAGCCCACGCACAGACTATGCGATTTTGTCTGGTGCATTTCTTGGTGCCCATAATCTACCAAGTTTGCATTTCAGTATTTCGGAATTATCAACAAAGAAAAAATAGAATATCATACACAAAATAATGAACAGAATGCTTTATTACCTTTTGTTCACGTTCTAATTCCATGCGTATATTGTCACGTTCTAAACGAAGTGCTTTAACTGACTGTAAAATACGCTCTTTTTCATCAAGAGAAGCATTTAATGATGCCTATTGAAAAAGAAATGAAATTTCAAGAAAATAGACTACGAGAAATGGATACAATAGTCAAGGACTTTATACAAATTTTACTCATTTTTTTTACAAAAGAATACCTCCCACACTGATATTTCTAATTCCTGGTCATTCAGGTTGATTAGTGTAGGTTTCTTTTTCAATGTCATTTATCAATAAAAACAAAATTTATAAAGGCAATTTCAGTTTTTTCATTTACGTATGTACCTGATATGTAAATAGGTAAAGTTTCAGTTCCTATGTCAAATAATGACTGCAATACTAAGAATAATTTAAGAAACTTCATAAGAAAGTTATTTTTATTTCACAGAATCATGATATGCCTGTTGGATTTACAGGTCTCAGCGATGTATGTATGGAATGACAAAAACAATTACTGAAAAGAGGATTGCCTCATAAGCTGACTACGGTTAGAGAACCATTGGGAAACCAACTAGGGAGTACTGGACTGCTGTTTCACCAGCCTTGTTTGAGACTATTCAATAGTACGCACACACCGCAGTGGTTCGAACCAAGCACCTTCTGGTTATAAAGCGAGCTCGTAAACCATTAAGCCATTGCGACCCGATCCAATGGCCAACTCATGAATTCCAACTTCTGCCAATTCACTATACAACCTGACTACTAGCCAATTATTGAAGAATCTCCTAGGTTGTGCTTTATTTACCTGTGTTTCATTTAATTCACGTTGTTTATTTGCAGTTTGATTAGCCAACTCTCGTACATTAGAATTGCAATTTTCTAATTCACGTCGTTTTTCAGCCTTGATAACTTCTAATTCAGTCTTCTTTGTTTCTGTTTCTTGAGCAATCACTTCTAAACGAAGTTTATCTTCTTCAATCTGAATTGATTTGAATAGAATAAAGCTTATTAGTAAATAATATAAACATTAAGAAAACAGATGTTCACTGTACACTTTAGTAAGACCGTAAGTACACCACATTAAAAAGGCAACTAGATTTTCAATCCATCTATATATCCGTTGCTTACGTGTTGTATGCTTTACTGCAGTCTAAACGGACATCTGACTACCTATCTATTTTATGATATTTAAATGGCTAGCGGCGAAGTTTAAAACGTATGTTTCATCTTGACAGTTAGTTACTCAGATTTATGTGTTACAAAAGATTCCTCCATCTTTTTCGCTTTCAGATGATCAAAGAACTATCTGAAAAAAAATGTCTACGAGTTTCAGGACTATTGATATCTTCTACCAGCATACTCTGAAATCACAGGCTGCACACAACATCTATCAAACACATATTCTTTCGATTTACTCCTTTTGCATTTATTTTAAGCAATCAAGGATGTCATCACCTGTGTATTTTTCAAAACATTTCAACTCTCGCCGACCATGCACATGGTCCAAGGTTCGATCTCGTGCCGATGCACACCTGATATCTATGGTCGGCCTGCAAAATTTAGTCTACCAATATCACATGCTGAAAATTCCATACTTGTACCTAAAATACAGTGTGGAATCAAGCTGCAACCAAAACAACCTGTTGTCCATCACATTCTTTGTCAATTAGAAAGAAAATATTATAGCCGGTGACAAGGAGAAATAAGTTACTTAAACACGAGCCGAATAACTGCAGATCCCGTGGTTATTGTAAACGAAGTAGATTTGTTATCATATGAAAGTGCTGAAAACTTCACTGAATGACATCGCGCGCGCGCCAAGCCCGCAAGACATGCAGAAGAGATTACATGAAGACGAAACGAAAGCTTGTGGGAAATTATGAAGCCAGCTTTGAAAGACAGCATAGGACAGACTGAAGTGGAGATGTTCTCCTGGGGCCTTTTGTTCCATTCAGAATTCAATGGATGAATAATGAAAATAACTATAATAATAAAATCATTGTTTATAATAAAGTAACTATTACTATTATTAGTTATGCTTGTGTTTTACTTTATGAATGAAACTATCTGATAAATCTCAGTATCTGATGAGTAGTGATATGAAGAGAAGAGTGTTCATATCTCATAACTTAGTTTGAATTCTTAACCCTACATAATTATGTCAAGATTGAAAGGGTGCATTTCTTTTCAAAATTAAAGCAAAAAGCAATTGAACAAGTTTAAATTATTTTTATTTAAATAAAAGGAATGAGATCCTTTACAATGATCAGGTCAATCAGCAAGTTTCAGTTTACTGTGAACAATAATAACCTGTTGGGTCAATCACTAAAGGTGTAAATAAGAAATTTTTTTCTTCAGAATTGTATTAAGTGGATGAAATATATTTAAGGCATAAGGGAGTTCGATTAAAATTTTGAAAATATTAAGAGTTATAAAATAAGACAAAGATATTTCTTAACTTAGTATTTGAATAAAGCAAGAACAACAGTTGTTGCAGAATAAAATGGTAGCATCACTGCTTATTTCGTTGGCTTATTATCGGCTGCTTACAGGCCAACGTCAATATACGCATACAATAATATATATAATAATAAACACTTCTTCCCGAACAATAATAATCATACACAATGGAAACTTTCGGCAATGCGTGATCAGATGAAAAAATCCAGTTACCAGGGTAAGGAAAGACTGATAACCTACTCTTTCTGAACGCATAAATAGGGTTTCAGGCGCATGATGGAAATTGCTTCGGCAAACTTAAGGAAAACTAAACTCTTCTCCCTATTGATAATTTTGAACGATCTTGCGACGTCCACCTCATAACCCATGTCAAGCAGATGTTTGGCGATGGCACTGTTTAAAGCATTTATTCCCCTTAGACATAGGCTTTTTAGTACATGTTCAGAAAATCGGAGATATGACTTTTTCTCTGTTCTTTCAATGTAACTGCTCCCGCAGATACATGTAAATTTGTATATACAATTAGAGTTAACATGAGAAGCGTATCTGTCGACTTTTGACTGTACCAAAGAGCATGTTGTCCAATAAAACGGGAACCAACTTAGCTACAGGATAGGATCTGGCTAGTGACGTCCTCGATCTTCTGTCAACAATTGCTGTTATATTTTCACCTTTAAAATCAAGTATGTTAACATTGTTTCTGTACATATACTTAATAATGTCTCTGGGCTGTAAGCAGCTAATGAGAAGCCAACGAAATAAGCAATGATGGTAACATGTTATTCTGCAACAACTGTTGTTCTTGCTTTATTCAAAATCATTAAGTAGAATACATATATTTTAGTATTACTGATCTACTTTATTCTGATCAGAAATTTCTTTCATATCATTCAAAATTTAAGTTAACGAAGACAAATACAAATGTCATTGGTAAACACTTTACTTCGTTAATCTCGGTATTCCTGATATATTTATTGAATGTTTAACTAGTACTTATATCAGTATAGTTGACAGAAGCCTGTACACGGAATACGAAGATATCCATTCAATGAGCCAATATTCCGATAGAGAAAAGTTAAGTCGGTCATAAATAAACCTATTATTCATAATCTCAGGTGTCTAATGCTTATGAATAATTGAAAAAAAAGATAATATATGTTACTGTTAACTAAACTAATGAAAATACAGGTAGAGGTTTTATTAAAAAGAAAGAATAAATGCATGAACTCATGTAGTACAGTGAACCAACATCCTAAGTAACATTTAAACTGTGCTGAAGGTTAACATAAATGAAACACAATACTGAAGGATAAATGATAAAAAGATTGATAGAAAAGTAGATTCTGAATCATAACATTTCCTTCCTATAATTGCAAGCAAGATAAAAGTATTTAAATGAGAAAAAGTAAAACATAGACAAGTTATGCAGTAACTGAACCGAAGTTTTTTCAACCTTTTTGAGAGAAGACTTTTACATCAACATAAGAAAACAAAGTGTCAATGACTAAGCGCTGGAATGTTCGCCAACCAGGCAGGTGGTTCGGGGTTCGATCCCGGGCCGATGCACTCTTTTACCTTGCTAAGCCAGTAATAACACTGGTAGATGGGAAGTTGAGCATGAGGCTGGCAACCCCACCCTGCAAAAGCAACACTGCTACCAAAACTATAAACCTGTAGCTTGAAGCCCTATGTTCCACTGGGAACGTGAAGGAATAAAAAATATACATAGAGAGAATATGTATCAAACTTATTATTAAACCAGTCAACACCTCAATTATTAATTACTTGACCTTACCTAGCATTTAAATTAAAATGCTTCATCAAACACGTTACACCAAGACAATTCATTATTATGGCGTACGCTTAAAAGTCGTCATAGAAACCATGAAGAAACTATTTCAAATAGTGACACAAACAAAATGTAAGTCTTGAAAGCATCAAGACAAAAACACTTGGATAGAATAACATAGATTTTTGGCATTCCTCTTTAGCTACAGACAACTTAAGGTTTTTAACCACATCATAATATGATAAAGTATTTGATAAATATTAGAAGGAATCAATCTTTCATCACCCCAGCAACTTTATAGCCGTTGTAATCTACTTCCCAACGCGGCAATTTATATATTACCATAAATAAATTCCAAGAGATTTTCCTAGTACATATATATATATATGTATTTGATGTTTCCAGCGTTCCTCCCTTTGGATGTAGATACAACCTCCCTCCGCTGACAAATCCCTTGGTAGAACGCGGGGAGACTGCTGCAACGACCCCCAAAATAGCATAACGTACTAATTTTTTACATGCCCTATGATAGTGATTTCGTCAAAATGAACTAAAGGAAACTAAATATTCTGTTTTAATGTGATGCAATCGTTAATCTACGTTGTATGCAGCTAAGTGGATTCATATTTTGCTGTCCCAATCCTTCTTCTGGCTCTTTCCGATTTTATAGATAAGAATACTGCCTTTCAATGCTCACAATTTTCCAAGATGAAATCACTTCAAATAGTTTCATCAGCAACCAACAAATGTTTAAAGATTTTACTAGTGAACTCTGAATTTCGAAGTATCCTCAACTAAGTCTGGTGTAATAAAACAAGCTGTAACCAAATCAATAAGATATTCACTCTAAGGGAGTTTTTATAATTCACTTGAATACTGTTTGTTTAAATGGATAAGTACTATGAATAGACATTAGTAATGACGAAAACATCAGTGGGTTCAGTTAGTCTTCAACACTATCAAAAATTACAGAGCAAGTCTAGTTGACTGACCAGGAAATTTACATAAGACTTGACATAAATCGATAAAAATTGAAGTTACGATCCCCTAATTATATAGTTATCAATGCATACGTATATAATATTAGATGTATGAGTGCAAACATAACACATACGGTTGTACTCATAAATTATTATTCATACATCTTCTGACTGTCCATCATCAACCATTTTGTTTTACAAGTACTCTTAAACTATTTTATGGCCGACAGGTGGATTAAGTACAGTTTTTAATCAACGACATTGATTGTTATAATTGGTGGAAAAAAAGCCCAAAAGAAAACCTCCATAGGAGCCCGCATAAAATACAGTTGATTTCATTTTTGTCTGCCTATTAAGGAAATCTGTAATTACCACATTTTGTTGTGAGTGACTTTAATAGTAAGGTTGACTTGTATGGTTAGAAAATAATATAGACACTGGAAGATGATGCAATATCACTATATATATATATATATATATATATATATATATATATATATATGAGCAACTAAATTTTTATTTAATTATACATTCGTGAAAAAAGTTACCAAAGTTGTGAAAATAAACATCACGGCATGACAAGAATTAGGAATCAAAGATGAAGGATAAACACAGATAAAATATATTAATTATTGGTTACCTTGATAATTAACTTTTGGTTGTGTTTCTGATAACTAACTCTTCTGGAATGTATAATTAGTTTCACATAAAAGTCTGAATATTTAGAGCACTGATAAAAAAACAACTCCA